TACTATTACTACTACTCCTCCTACTACTTGCTACGACTACTACTGCTGCTACTACTGCTACCTCTACTACTACTACTACTACTACTACTACTGCTACTACTACTACTACTACTCCTACTGCTACTACTACTCCTACTACTCCTAGTACTCCTACTACTCCTACTACTACGACGACGACGACGACGACGACTACTACTACTACTACTGCTCGTGGTCGTGGTCGGTGGCCGCGGCCGCGGTCGTGGTCGTGGTGGTGGTGGTGGTGGTGGTGGCAGTCGTGGTAGGGGTTGTAACCAGCGGTGGTCGTGAATGTTGGTCGCGCAAGGCGCTTCCTACGGGCAGCCGATGGCTGGCGGTGCTCCGCCCGGAGGCAAAGCCTTTGCCCGGCCAAGTCGCGCAGAACCCGGTGTCGCAGGCTGCAGGACGGACACTAATATGGGAGGCGATACGTCTTGAATATGTAGATACATCTAGAGTATGGTGTTGGGGGGTATATTAGAGCATAGTTAAGAGGGAGGTTGTACTGATTATTGAGACCTCCATGTCACGACGGGTTGGGGTTCAGGTTTCTCAGGCCTACCTTTTCTCTCTCCAGTTTAGTTTAATGCAGGTGTGTGGTTACGGGATTTTCTTTACTGGGAAATTGCAAAACCCTAATCTGCATTGTGATGTAAACCTGCCTAATTTAGTAGAGCAGTCGGAGGCGGGGGAGGGGCTATGGGAAATATTATCACCAATGGTGTTGACTAGAAAGTTACATAAACGATCGTGATTTCACCAGCTTCCTCCGCTCGGCCTCTGATCCTGGCAGGACTCGGCGAGCCAATGACCAAGCGCCACGCCGGAGTTTCCGTGCTGGGATGTGCGATTGCCATGGTGCCGCGGATGAAATCAGCGCTCGTGTTGTTGTGGGCGTCGACTGACGTCGTTTGCGACGACAACAAAGCTGTTCTTGCTGCAGCTGTTGTTTGAGTCATCTATGTGCGCGCCGTCTATGTGTCTGTATGTGTGTACGAGCCCGTGTTGTTGTTGCCATTCTTGGGCACTCAGTCGTTGCTGCCATTGTTGCTGCTGTTAGTGTTCCCTTTTTTTATTTGATACGTGTTCGTTGTCGGTCTCGTCGTCGAACGAGTACTGGAAAGCTTCAGCTGCAACCGACCGCCCCGGAACTTGAACATTGAAGAGTTTGCGCCGGTACGGATGCGTGCGTGTTCTATTGGGGATTTGGGGCTCAGATACCGAAGCCAGCATGCAGGTGGCAGTGGGTGGCTGCGCACAGGGTATTGGACAACTCTTCGCTGCGCCCCTTGCCCAACATTGAAGTGGGGTCGTGTTCTGAAGTAATATAGGGGCCGAAAAAAATTACCAATACCGTTTCTGTGGTTCCTTATTACAAATATGATATAACGAACCCCCAAAGCCCGCTCGGAATTATGAAGACCTCCATATAAGGTTCAAGTGGGAGGTCTCTGCGGCAGGAATCCTCGAAAACTCGGACCCAAGTCCAAACCCGCAGCCTGATATAACCCTGCTTTACTGCTCTTAGGAATTATGTTTTTATTTTTTTTATACTTATAATATATAACTTTAGGGTATTGACTCGAAGATGCTTTAATTCTGGTTCGAAGGGGGCGGCTAAGCCTGAAACATGCAACTTGAAGCCATCAGCCCCGAGCCCCGAAAGCTCCGAAACCCCAAAGGCATGGCAGGGTCAAGGTTCAAGGTGAGGGAGTTTGGGGTTTAGGGACGGTTTAGGGTTTAGGGTTGGGGGTTTAGGGTTTAGGGTTTAGGGTTTAGGGTGTAGGGTTCAGGGACTTCAAATACCTGGGAGCTGAACCCTAGAATGAAGAGTTTACCTTCTTCGAGCTCCCGGAACCTTTGTCATTCTTAGAGAATCCATAGAGGCTCCAGGAAGGGGTTCTTGTAGGGCTAAGTTGGGGCTTAGGCCTGCACCCAAACCTCAAAGACCCATAAACCCTAAACCCTAAACCCCTAAACCCTAAACCCCAGGCTGGTCGTGGGAATGGCTCGTAACCCATCCATGAAGGAGGACCTCTTCACCTACACGTTGATCGGGATGGGTGCCTGGGCTTAGGGCTTAGGGTTTAGGGTTTAGGGTTTGGGGTTTGGGGTTTGGGGTTTGGGGTTTAGGGTTTAGGGCTTAGGGTTTAGGGATGGGTGCCTCGATCTGGGTTGAGACTAAGACTACGGCTAGGGTCTGCAGAGCTTGGGGTGGGGATGCTGAATGGCGTCCGGCATCTGTGTCTGTAGTACCCAAGCCCGACGACGCCTCACACCGCACAAGCGACTCTGTTCCCTAAACGCCTACTATCCTACACCCCTCCAACCCTCGCCCTCCCCAAACCCTACACCCCTAAGCCCTGAACCGCTAAAACACTAAACCCCTCAAAACCCTAAACCCTAAACCCTAAACCCTAAGACTAAACCCCTAAAAAAAACCGGAGCCCAGGCTTCTTGGAGTTCCTCGCCATTGTGGTGATTCTCATCGCCGGGCTCCTGCTCTACTCAGAGTGAAGAGCCCCCTGTCGCCTTCTAGGGTTTAGGGTTTAGGGGTTAGGGGTTTAGGGGTTTAGGGTTTAGGGTTTAGGGGTCTAGGGGTTTAGGGGTTTAGGGTTCCGATCGGTTTGGGAGTGTCGGATTTTATACCGGCGCCCTGATCTACTGTTAAGGGATATTTTGGATATTCTTCGGGTTCCTTTCGGGGGTCTATACGGCGTTGTCTTTGTAGGGGTTTAATTGTTTAATATAGGCGCCTTCAGAATTCGACTGAGGTTTCGCAGGACTGCATGATATTACTACTGGCCTAGCATGGAGGCTTAAAAGTTCAAAGTTGAGGCTTTAGAACAGTAAGCTACGGACTTGCCTTTCAAAGCGCACGCGGTTTGGGTGAGCAGTTTTAACTACTGGGTTTGTGGCGGGTTTGTGGGTATTGTAGAGTATTAGTAGAGGCTCCAGCCCGAATGTTGACCCCAATCTCGACAGTGTCACCAGGCCTATTGAAACATGTTTAGGGTTTGGGGTTTAGGGGTTTAGGGTTTAGGGTTTAGGAAACATGGTTTCTTATCTCTGGATCCTAACTCCCGATTCCCCTGACCTCTCATAAACCCTAAACCCTAAACCCTAAACCCCAAGCCCTTCCGGTAAAGCCCAAAGCCCCAAGCCCCTAAGGGACATGGCTGTGCCAACCTCATGCTTCCTTAATGCAAGCCTGTTGGATTTTGGAACCTCCTGGTTGCATGTGGGGCTTAGGGTTTTAGGGCTTAGGGTTCCAGGGTTTAGGGTTTTAGGGTTTAGGTTTTAGGGCTCAGGGTTTAGGGTTTAAGGTTTATGTATAGGGTTTAGGGTTTAAGGGTTTAGGTTTTAGGGTTTGGGGTTTAGGGATGCGTTTCACAGCTTCAGCTCCAGGACCTTGAAAACTGTGGGCTTCGTTGCTAGAGACTGTTGGGGCCTTATATTTAGGTATAAGATTTGACATGAAGCTCTGAACACTGAACCCTCAATTAAGCCCCAAACCCCAAGACCTCTAAACTGAACCCCGAGCCCTGAATTCCAAAACCGAAACCCTAAGTTCTAAACCCCAAACCATAGAAGATGGACCTGATCTCAATGCTCCAGCTGCGAGGTTGGGAGAAGGTCGATACGACGACCTCCCGGCGACACAATCAGCTTAGGATTTTGATGACGATGCAACCGCGACTATAATGGTTCACGAGAGAAAAAAAGGTCCGGGCAGGCGTCGGTATTTGATCGGCTTTCATAGATCCTTGCTTTGACAGCTCTGCCGATGCACAGCAGCAGTATTGTATCGTCATTCCGTCCCGTTACCACGTGCGCCATGGCGGCATAGCTTGACGCAGCATGAGCCCAACGTCTCGGAACCCCTCGCAGCCCAGGGCAAGAATGGATGATGGACCTCCGCAGGCACGTCTTATGCCCTTCTTCATGATGTTGTTGCTCGCCGTGAGTAGCTGCTTGCAGTCACCATGTAGATCTGAAGCCATGATAAGCCAACTAACCCCAGTCCATAACCGAAAGGCTGCAACAAATCCCTGAGCCTCCTAACCCTAAACCCCAAACCCTAAACCCTAAACCCTAATCCCATCCATGGCTTCTGTGCGAGGATCTCCTGGGACATTATGGACTTGTTCGGCCTAAAGAGCCACAAAGCGCAAGAACTTGGCGCGCGGGCCTTAGCAAGCTCACCAAGCAGACGCACCTATGAGTCCCACCGACGCCCAGCTAATGTAGGGGCCTGAGTAGAAGGGTTTTGGGTGGTAACTTGTATTGCAAGTATATCAGGGGTTATAACGGGATACCTTTTCTCTTATTCCCGATCCTTTTGTTCAAAACCTTCTACTTACGGTTATCTGGAGTCCCTCTGGTACCGCTCCCTACACGCCAAATACAGGATCCTTGTGTGCATGCGGTCTTCTGGGGCCTTGTGAGTTTAGAGTTTCGGGTTTAATTTGCCTTCAGGGTTGAGGGCTTGTAAATCCCACTCTCGAAGCCTCCGTGATGGAAGGAGTTCACGGACCATGAGAAGGAGATGATGAGTGCTTGGGTCTCAGCTTTCGCACTGCCCCTTTATGGTTTTGAGTTTTGGGCTTCAGGAAGTGGGGTTTTGGGCTTTGAGGTTTAGGATTTCAGGGTTCAGTGTTATAGGTTTTGTCCATGCCTTGCGGCGATGTAGCAGCATGTAAAGCATGAGCGTTATATGTATTGTACTGCTGTGCATCGCCTTACCCAGCCGACCCATGCTTGTTCTTCCAGACACTCTAGTCTAGGCACTACAGTCACTACGTCACTACAACATAATTCCGGCCATGTTTTGTCCCCTAAACCACGGAGCCCGAACATGCGATGTTGCTCTTACTCTGACTGCAGGCACACTTGGAGCCACACCTGCAGCAGATGCAGAACATCCATGAGGCTGGAAAATCTGAACCCTAAGCCCTAAACCCTAAACCCCTAAACCCCTACGCCCTAAACCTGAGCTACAGGATTTTGATATGGGTGCAGTGGTTATATATATATATACACACATACACACATATGTATATATGATCCCGGTTCGGCCGCCCCC